GAAACGTAGAGAACGCAGCGACTCGTGGGATACAGGAAAAGAACAGAGCAGACATGGGAACAGAGACTAAACACAGGGAGGAAAAGCTACGATCACGAGGAACTGGTCTCGGGTTTTTTAGTCTTTAAAAGGAAGAAAAACTAATCAGGCCAATTTTCCAGGCTAACAGTAAGAAAACGATAGTTATTTATATTAAAGAGCGTTTTCTAACCTTAAAACTATGTTCTTCAATAATCAAAGTGATGTTAGCAGCACTAGCACCAACAACCGCGTTTCCTTGCAGGTTCACATCCAAACGTGTAAAACGTGGTTACTCATCGCTCCTGCTCAGTGAGTATATGTTGGTTTTCTTAGCGGCAGTCTGAAGGTAACCCTTCATTCTTTACTGGAAAAGAGAGAAAGCGCACTGCTGCCTGCTAGAGCTTGGGACTGTAGCATCCTAGACCTCCACTATCCCACCTGTACAGTTCACAGGTGCAGCTTGCCAGTGTTAGCAGATAACTAAACACTTCACTCGATCCTCTAAATCAGCGGTCCCCACCCCCCGGGCCACGAACCAGTCCGTGAGCTGTTTGGCACCGGGCCGTGAGAGTCGAGGCTCGGGTGTGGAATTTATGGTTTTCAGGGTTTTTATCACTAACTCGGTTTCCCTGGGTTTTTTCCCGTGTTGTAGTTGTGTCTTATTTTGAAAGGAATATTTACACGTTACCATAGCGACCAGAGAGCATTAAGGGGAAGAGAGGAGAATAATACTCTCAATGTTGTTGGTGCATTTCAGGAGGACGCTGCGAATAAAGTTACACAGTTCACGTTTATTATTATATTTATAAAATACCACAGTTTTTGTCTTTGTCATATTATTTTATTTTATAGACCAGTGGACCGTCACAGACCGGCCTTTAAGGTGTTGCAGTCCGGTACCAAACGACTCACGGACCAGTACCGGTCCGGGGGTGGGGGTGGGGGCTGCTGCTCTATATATCGTCCCTGCTGGCTACAATACATACATCTGAATTTTCACTACCACACATGAGTGAACAACATGTAGCTGAAGCCACACCAGCTCACACGTTGCTGTAACAAAGTCCTTGTCCAGTGTTGGGGAACCAGGACGTCTTGATGAAATGAGGCTACTAAAACGAAGGCGTGAGAACATTAAAGTAATAGACAAAGAAGCACCTGGCAGCTCAGCGCTATAATATTGAAGCTGGAGACCCAGAAGCTGCAGCACAGTGGAAGCAATTGTGAGCAGTATGGACCAACTGCAACAGCAGCTGCATCTACTGAGCTGAAGATGAAAACTGTGGCCAAAGTCAAGGTGGCCTCCAAACCAAGAGCATCACTCCTTAGCTCACCGATAGGTAGGGCTGGGCGATATGGCCTAAAATCCATATCGCGGTATAATTTGAAGCACGTGCTGTAACGATATATATCGCGATATATTCTTTTCTTCTGTATAACGTATTTTCCACACTATAAGGCACACTAAAAACCCTTTAATTTTCTCAAAGATCGAGAGTGTGCCTTATGTATGAATTCTGGTTGTGCTTACTGACCTCGAACCGATTTTGGCTGCAGAAATCTGTTAAAAATGTTTTAGTACAACTTTGGTAAGCTGCACTGCTTGATGGATTGTCAGAGCATTACAGCTGCCGTAGTGAGGAGCTTCGCGGAGTAAACTGGGTCCTAAACTCCGTCAGCTTCAGGTCCCAAAGTCAAACGAACACTGAGAGTTAAAAACGGTCTAAATTCTTTCATCTTTAATTAAATCATCAGTGTTGCTGCTTTATCGGGTGTAACAATTAAGTTTTACATCCATGAAAACAGAATTTATTAAATTTAACAGAGTTAGAAATTAACAGGAAGTTAGCTCGCTAGTTTACACCTAAACATGACATAGCATGTTCTGACAGAGATTTTTGAAACTAATTAAAACGTACAGCTCTGTTATCACTTCCAACATAAATGAAGACAGAAACTAAACAGCAGTGGCGTTTGTAGGGTTACTGAAGTTGGATTACCTGGTATATAATGTTGTGCTACGTGATAGCTAGCGACACAGCTATGTTAGCATAACATTAGCACAGTGAAGCTGGAGGATGAACGCTAACTTTGTTTCCACTCGATAAAAGTTAACGTGAGGGATTCTGGTGGTCAGGGACAAATGCAATCACATAGCAGGATGCTGTACACGGGCCAAACTTCAGTCAGGAGAACAACTGAGATCATTCATCCACAATACGAGGTTAGTTATTAATATGCTGCAACAACATGGAAATAGAGCAGCTGCAGAGAATTCAACATTAATGAATCAATGTTACGGAAGTGGAGGAAGCGCAGTTTTTGGCTTTCTCATATTTCAAAAGTGCTTCATCTCTTTGCTGTGACTGCCACCCGCCATAATTTGCAGATGATAATGGTTGTAGCCGCTGCGATGCTTTCGACCAAAACAGGCCCAGCTTGATGACATCATCAACATGCGTGATAGAGCGATATAGTCAAAATCTCTATTGTTGGCCAAATTTATATCGTTTCTATCGTATATCGTTTCTATCGCCCACCCCTACCGATAGTCCAATCAGAGGAGGGGCTTGCAGATCTGCCTATTGCAGATCTATATATCATCCCCACTTCCAGTTTCACTAAAACTGAAAAATCGATATAATTAGCCTGCTTTTCAATCAGTCAGCAGATTAACTAATGATCTATACTGAGATGAAAACATGTCCCCTGGATGTAAACAGGGGCCAGTAATTTATATTACTGTGAGGTTAATGTGACCATGTCCCAAACCTGCAGCTGGAATGATAAACTCTACTGCAT